CCATTCATACCCCAATATCTATTTACACTTGGATAGAGGTTTTTCTAGAAACCAAGATGCCTTAAACACAGACCTATTCTGAAGGTACCCTGCCAGGCGCATAGGACAAGAACTTCGAAAAGGATGGTCCTTTGGCATCTAAGTTATGATAACCATAATGGCGGACTTGCAGATCTGGAGGAAAGTTCATAAATGACTTTGAACCATTTTGATGTACAGAAAAAATTGAGTTTCTTTTTATAAAAGTGACCCAGTTTTTTTTTTTTAAGTCTAGTTTTGGTTTTCAACGAATAAAGACACTTTAATGGTCCACTTAAGTGTGATTAATGGCAGGTGTGCTTTTTGGAACTTGGACTAAAATTCGAATTCAAAAATAAAGAGTGGCAATATGGGTAATATTGTATCACAGTGAGTACAATAAGGGACACTACTTAAAATGTGTATTTGACAGCTACCATGTGCTGGGATATTCTGGAGCTGCTACAGACCAGATTCGTAATAAGTGAGGCATAACAGTGAGTTAAGTGCTTTATCTAGAGACAAATTTGTTAAGTACAAATGGAGAGGCAGGCAATGCAGCCAGAAGAAATCACACAAGGTCTAATGTACAAAAGGGTCTGGAATGTCTAGAGACAAGAAGACGCAGGTGGGTGGGATAAGGTGTAGCCATGGGGTCAGCTCAAGGGTTTGTATTCTATTCTATGTGATAATGGAAGTCTGCCAGAGCTGAGAAGATGGGTACTAACACTTGGCTTGACTAATGAGGAGAGATTGTAAGCAAGAAATGGGATGGATCTGAACTAACGCATTGATGGAGAGAAAAAGTTGATGAAAAACCAGACAAGCTTAAAAGGCTTGCCTATGTGTTTTTTGCACCAAGCAGCAGAGAGCATGCCACACAGTAAGTGCCCAATAAATGTCTGTTCAATTAAACATTTTAAAGGATTACTTCACTTGTATTAATATTTAAAGAAGGAAGCCATGGCAGATAGTGTAGGAAAGTTGCATAAATAATCTATCACATATAAGGGTAGATACAAAAAGGATTTAAGCTCTTAGGATAAACTAGAAGAATTTTATGATCTCTTTTTAATAAACTAATACACAAATTTAGGATATTAATTGCACATACAAGTAGGGGATAAACAGTTATTCCAAAAAACAAATAAAAGAGAGACTCAAAGAATGAAAGAGATCTGGGTTAAAATAAGCAATATATTAAAATACAAGACAGATACTGTTGAGTTTAATTGTCCAAGGAAAAGCAATTCACTTCTTTTTAAAACACAAATTTAAGAATTTTTAGGGAAAATACTACTTAATAAAGAATGATACTACAGAAACTGTTTATGCCATGGTGTGTGTGTGGGGACTATCTCAACAAAAACAAAAACATACACCCCCCCCACTCCCCACCCACCCTCAAAACCATATAATGAAGTCTATATTTAAAATACCTTTAAGGACATACATTTCACTAATTAAAATATTTTATAGGAATAATAAAAAATTACCAAATGTTACCTCTGGAAAAAGACCCATTACAAGATGACCAGAGAAGAGAGACTAGTGGTGGACAGATAGCATTCCAAAGTCCTCTAAACTGGATATAAAACACACCAGAAAAATAAAAGCACCATCCAAAGGGGAATAACCATCTTTACATTAATAATCACATTCTCCTTAAGCCTCATGTGCAAAGTGACTTTTTTAACCCATTATTAGCATTTAAATGAGCACTGGTGCTGTAAAACTGACTCCTTCTGTTAGGTACAGTATAGTCAGTTTTACATAATTCACAGTAAAAAGCCTTTTTATTTCAGGAGCGGGGCAGCAGGAAAGAGGGAGGCCTTGGCTGACTTGCCAAGGACACCACCACTGGAAAAAGCTCCTCGCTAAAGTCTGCTGGAAGCATAAAAGGTCAATGCAAAGCCAACTAACTGACCTACTGAGATGCAAGAATTCTGATTCCTACAGCTTATTCCAAAAATATGCTTTTATTCCAAAAGTTTCTGGCTTGAGAACTTCCTACAACTGCCAAACCAGCATATGAAGAACCCCCCACCACACACACACTCTAACACTTTTCAAACTGCATTCCTGAGAGCTTAGCCAGTAATCTTACAAAGTAAAATGTTTTAACATTGGTCCTTTTATAAATTCTTTAGGATTTCCTACATTCTTTAAACATCATAAAATGCAGCATATATAAACTGTGTTTCCTCCAATCCTCATCTCTTGCAGCTAAAATAGCGTGAAATCCAAATTGCCAAGTAAAACACGCTCAGGATACTTTAAACCAAACACTGAAGTCATTCCAGTTTTCTTCCATTTCCCCCTCCTATTCTGCCTCATTCGTTGTGTTCATGCGCACGCGCACACACACACACACATGCACACACACATGCACACACACACACGCAGAGAGAGAAAGTACTATAACCAGAATCAAAATGTGAAGGTGACTAAAGATTCAGATGATGTAACAATCTGAGTTTGTGTGTGTGTGTGTGTGTGTGTGTGTGTGTGTGTGTGTGTGTCCCCTACCACAATCCATGCTATTGTCAGTGTAATCATGGTTAGCTGTAACAATACATAAAAATCTTGATGTAGTCAGAACTTTTGTATTTAACAATTATACCCAAAGCAGAGCACCACGTATGACTACTATCCTTTCCAAAAGTAGATATTATTTGTTCATAATAAGCTTCACATTTTGACACATTCTATAATTTATCATGAAGTAATAGTAATTCAGTACATTAAATACCACAAACAAAACATAAGAGGGTAGAAAGTACATAAGATTCAAAAGAAAGTTTATTTTTTAAGTGTCGCTTAAAACTTAAACAACTCTAGCATTTTTGCTTAATTTAAATGCAAAAAATCAACTATATCCAGTTAACTTACCAACATTCTCAGAATGTAAAAATCGGCAGCTGTGGAAGTCAGCATAAGATGTCTTATTCAAGTAACTTGACCCAAAAAAAAAAAAAAAACAGACTTTTTGGCTATACCTAAAAGCATTCTTCTTTCATATAGCAGTACAGAAACTATGACCAGACCAAAAGAAATCCAAACACCAGACCATGTAATGAATCTTCTCTAGAGACCACAGTTATTTGAAGACAAGTTCAGCCTAACAGCAGTAAAAGAATAGAGGGTAATGAATTCCCCCCCCCAAACTAAAGAATTTTCCTTGGAGACTCTGCCAATAAAACATTATGACTTTTCTGAGGCTTTATAGGCTAAAAACTTGTTCCCAGATGTTTCTAGGTTATCCTGTCCATCACTTACAGTAAAACTCAAAGCAAAATGACAAGTTCCATAAAGTAAGCAACTTACTGGCCTATCCAGAGGGCCTCCGAAAACAGGAGGGACTTTTGCTTGTCAGAGTAAATCAGCATGCACTGGTGCTGTTGACTGCTTCTGGATTAAAGAAACCAGAGTATTCTAGTGACTCAGGGAATACAAAAGTTTTGAAGGAAAGGTATCAAGTATATTCCACAACTAGAACTTAGACTAAAGGTGTAATCTTTGTTAACCTGTCTATAATTTTATGTCTCAATTCCTATACTAGTGAATTTTGAAGCGTTTCATAGCCTCTAAACTTAGGAAGTTCTGAATGCTCAAATATGCTTTTTAATAAGTATAAGAAATATACAGAAAAGTTCTAGAAAATACTGTACTAATAACAATGGCTCACCACCTCAAGTAGGGGAAGGAAATAAAGGGACTTACCACATTACAAATTTGCTTTATACATTTCTATTTTCTTTGAAAATTTAAATATCAAAAAAATGTAATACATGCTCCAGTGTAGGTACCAGTGACTCATGCCTGTAATCCTAGCTACTTGGAAGTCTGAGATAGTGAGGATCATGGTTTGAGGCCAGCCCAAGTAAAGAGTTTGTGAGACCCTATCTCAACAGGAAAAAGCTGGGCATGGGGGAGCACACTGGCAAGTGTAAAATAGAGAAGGCCTGGGAAAAAAGCAAGACCTATCTCCAAAATAACCAGTGCAAAAAGGGCTGGATGTACAGCTCAAGCAGTTGAGCACCTGCCTGGGAAATGCAAAGCCTTGAGTTCAAACCCCAGTACCACCAAAACCAAGAAAAAATTATGCTCCAATGGCATAACACACATATGGATTGGAGTTTCTGATTTCATAGGAACTGAAATTAAAAGATCTGGAAAAATGTTCAGAACCGTGAGCCAGCAAATCTGTTCTCTACAACAAGTAAACAAAGCTGTTACCTTACAAAATAGTCAATGTGGTCCCTTAAACAAAAAAAGTCTGCCAAATTCCAACAGATTGTGTGATTCAGACACCAAATGCATGCCAAGAAGTCTTGCAGTCTGCACATGAAAACAAATACTTCAACAGAAGAACTTCTCTTGAAATACAGTACTCTTACCACTCAGAGATAATTTTACTACTCTCCTGTAAGCAGGGCCCACTTGTGGAAGAGATGATTAACAATGATGAATCATTTCCCAGGGTTTAGAGTATCCAAGTTCAGTTAATATAATCCACCTTTTCTACAATGAAAAATCTGAGGTCTGAGGCGAATGAGCTGGAGTTTCTATCAGTGCCTCCATTGTTTAACTCCGGTAGTCATGCCTCACACAGGGTTCCATTTGCATTAAAGATGAAGGGGATGGAGCTCTGAGAATTGTGCAATGTGACATCCATGTGACTTTCAAGTCCTCACAATTACTTAGAGACAGAATCAGAATTATCACCCACCTCCTCTTTGTTTCACCATCATCTTCCTCATAAAAGTATGAAAGAAAACAAAACGAAATGGTACATTTAAGATAAAACTAACTTTTATTCTCCTTAATGCTGTGCACTTAACTACCTTAGGTGAAATGGTATGAATTGCATAGTCAAATGCCAAATGAAGAACATCATAGATGTTAAAAGGAAAGCCAGAACTAGAGACAAGCCCGCAGAAAACAACATTTAAAAAATAGTCAGGCATGGTAGTGCATACCTGTAATCTCAGCATACAGGAGGCCGAGGCAGGAACATCCCAAATTCTAGGCCATTCTGGGCTGCTTAGTGGAACTTCCTACAAATATAAAAAAAAAAAAAAAATATATATATATATATATATATATATACACACACACACACACATATATATTTACATATGTATGTATTAAAAGATATCCTACATCAATATATTAAATGGTCTGTGTCCCAAAGTTACAAGTAAAAAACAGGTGGGGATATTTCATTTGTATAATCCAAACTTGATATCCATACACCAATTATACCACAGAAGATTTAAATAAAGGGATTCATAATTATGACCATCATATTGTGTCTGCTAAAACAAAAGTATCTGGTCTTGCTTCCCAGCAAAAGCAGCTTCATCTGCACTGATGTCATACCAAGGAAGCACTTTCAGCTACAATCCATGATGCCAATTAAGATAAGACACCAGTACATTCAGTACTCTACTGGCTTGCTAAGTAGATTAAATTTTCCTACAAAGAGAAACCAGGCCAAAAACTAGACACAGTATATTCAACCTTTTTTTTAATAATCTACCATCACTCAATGATGAAGATGATCTGGGGATTTAAGTACAAACATTTCAGACCACTGCTTGGTAAACAGCCAGAGTAGTTCTTCCAATTCCTGAAACTGCACAACCACCTGTGAGTCATTGCAAAGGGTAAGAAGTGGAGAGAGAGAAACAAAGTGGACACAGGGTGCCCTTGAGAAAGTTCTTGCCTGGAACCGACTTGAGAATTATATAACAAGGCTGATTAATCCACATTAGAAAATCACAAGAAGATTAACCCCAAAGACAAGTTCATAAGAACAATTGCTCTGAACAAAACTATCCTTCTAGTTTCCTCAATCTGTGCAACACACACACACCAACAGAGACAAACACACACACCTAGGTGTTTCTGAAAAGTTAAATTAGGTTGAGCAACTATTATTTTAGTTTACTTTTGACATGTCAGTGAGGATCCAGGAATGTAAAGATCAAGAATCAGAACCCCCCAAAAAAGGTAATGTCTTTGAATCAGGTGGAGTTTTTCTTTTTTTTGGGGGGGGAGGGATGAGGGGTGAGCAGCTGCAGCTCAAACCCAGGGCCTTGAGTGCATGCTAGGCAAATGTAGCTACACGTCCATTCCTGAATCAAACTTTTAAGCCATTTCACAAATGTCACATATCACCAAATCCAGGTGTAGCAGTAGGGGAAGGGTTTCATGAGTCACACTGGCCACACTGTTCTTAGAGGTAGCCTGGAATGGAGATATATTAGGGTTCCCTGAAGCAAGTCTGGTAGCCCAGTGTCTACGTCAGTGGCCTTCTTACATAAGGACAAAATTAGGATGAGATCCCTCACTACCATGTAACACCAAAATCCAGCAGGGACTTTTCAGAAAGAACTCTGACATTTCTCTCAATCACTCTTGTTTTTGGCAACCAGCTCTTACACACATCTCCACACTCACGTATCAACAGTTAGCACTTCTGTGGTGGAGACTTAGCCCCAAAGCACATGATATGGAATTAAGACTGGGATGCTAACCTGCTTGTTCCAAAGCCCATGCTCTTCTCTACCCTACAGCCCTCACATATTCTCCCTACTTCAATGCTATCACCTCATTACACAACCTTCAACTGTAAAGCTAGTAAAGGGAATCCCTGACTCATAAGCATGTAATCTTGCAAAGACCATATGGAGAGTTATCTTAACTCAAAACTTATTTTCTTAGAGAAATGCTATTAACAGTGCTTAGGTTCCCAGGCTCGTCCCCAAACTGAAACCCCTTTAGTCCATAATACAGCTACTACTAGTCCAGAAAAGCCTATACAACCCTTGTAATCTCTGTAAAGACCAAGAAGCTGAGCTGTTACAGTAGAACACATTCCAAATAGGAAAAGTAAATCAAAGAAGTTACTTTTCCTACTTGATTCTGCCTGCCACCATGGTCTCAGAAATCAGAAGAAGGTAGGAAGAAGAAAAGAAAGTTTTCCTTCTTCCTCAAACTTGAAGGGAGGAAGAGGCACTGTCACTAGGCATCAGGATAAATCTCATGAAAAGACACTTAGCATTAATCTTGTAGAAAATGCAGATCAAATTCATAATGAGTACCATTTCCTACCTATTAGGATAGCTAATATTGTAATGTAGGTGAGTGTGTGAAAAATCTGGCATTCTTGTTGATGAGAATGTAAAAATGGTTAAGCAGCTGTGGAAAATAATTTATGGTTCCTCAAAAATCTAACACAGAATTACCATGTGTTCTAGCATTCTGCTTCAGTACATAAAAGAACAGGAAGCCATGATTCCAATAGACATTTGTACCCCATGTTCAAAGCAAAAGGGGTCACAATAATCAAAAAGTGGAAGCAGACAGAGTACCAATCAACAGATGAACAATAAACAAAATGTAGTATATACATACATGAAATATTTGGCCATAAAAAAACAAATTCCATTATATGCACGACATGCATAAATCTTGAAAACACTATGTTAAGTGAAATAAACTAGTCATAAAAGAACAAATATTGTCTCTGGTGCCATGTATAGACAGTTCCTAAGTCATCAATTTCATAGAGACAGATAGTAAATTAGGGGTTACCGGAGTTGGGGTGGGGGAGATAAGAAGTTACTATTTAATAGGTACAGAGTTTCTGTTTGGGATGATGAAAAAAGTTCTGGAAATAGTGGTGATGGTCACACACATTGTAAATATGCTTAATTAAATACACTGAATTGCACCCTTAAAATGGTTTAAAAGGCAAACTTTATGGTAGGTGTATGTTGCCACAATTTTTTATAAAGGCAACACCACAAACTAAAAGACCCACAGCTAACTTGGCTTGACTTTCTTCATATCTGAATTTTCCTATCCTATGGGATAGATTGAAAAATACTAAACCACCTGTCCTTGAACTTTGGGCTGCCTCATGAATATTTTAGACCTCAATGTTAAACCTACAAGTGCTATACACCACAGCACTTTGCATTGTTAGTAACTATGGTAGCACTACGACAGCACCAGCCAGAAGCTTCTCTGAGCTAGTCAGTCACATAGAATACATAGGGACATATGAACAAACTCCTTAAATTTCCAATTTCTATTCAAATCTTCCCTGAAATTGTCACTTAACCAACTTAAGAGTCATAAAAGAGAAATGATTCCAGAGAAGAGAAAAATTATCAAGGGAAAATTTGTTAACAAAGATGTTTTAGACATGGCTATTTAGAACTCAGAAGTTATTAGGACAAACACCTGGACCTATGGGGAACAGATACTGAACAAGTCCCAGGAAAACTCAGATGTAGAGTCCAGGTTAAACAGTCTGGCCACCTTCAGTTGTGGCTTAAAATCCAAACATTCCCATTCCAGGCCCATAAGGAACTCTTTATCCAAGGTTAAATAAACCTCAATAAGAATGTGTGATTCTCAGTATAAAAAGCTGTCTTACAGACTTATTTATATTTATAGATGTCTTGAATACAATGCTTACACAAAGTAAGCATTCAATAAACATGGACTGTAAATTAGATTTCCTTAGCTATTCATTAAGTATCACTTGTAGGTGATAGAGAAAAATGAAAGGAATGGCAATTATTTTTAGCATCTAAAGTATAGATATGTACAGTGCCCCCTGGCCCCTCTCTTTTAAGACATAATTGTAGCTGGGCATGGTGACATACTTGTAGTCCCAGACATGACAGGAGGAGTGCCTGAGCCTAGAATTTCAAAGCCATCCTGGGCAAACATAGCAAGATCCCCTCTCTAAATAATAAATAAATAAGTAAGCAAACAAACAGGTAAGATCTAACTGTAACCACTCTTTTGGAAAATAATCAACAACCAGAGGGAGAAAGGATTTTTATCTTATCTTACTTTACATGGAAAGTTTTGAACATGGGCTCAGTTCACCACAAGCTCCTCTTTCTGAAAACAGGCCCTCTACTCCCTGAGGTGGGCTCTACTCTATGAACTAGTAGATCAGCCCTAGTATGGACACCTACCTCAAACAGAATTCTCAGAATTGGTCAGGCAGGGCCTAGTCACAATTATAAGAAAGTTACTGTTGCCTGTGTGGTAGCTTAGATCCTTGTCATAAGATGTTATCAATCAGTCCTATCCTTTCTAGATTCCAAGGTAGCTGACCCAGAAGAGAATGACTGAGAGCAAAAACAGATTAAAAAAAAAAAAAAAAAAAAAAAGAACAGAAATACCAAGCTTTTTTCCTACATTTAGTTACCCTTTGGACATTTGCAGGCCCAAGTAAGCAGTCAATGATTTTTAGCAAAAGCAGTTTCTAAGTACCTGTTACATCAACAGCAAGTCAACTGTTTAAATATAAGAAGCATGGTGAGAACAAACATTTTAAACCAGCACTACAGGCAGTAACCAGGAGATATAAAGAAGTGTTTGGGATTTTAGGGACCTTCAAACAATATTATTACTTTCACCCAAAATAAATGATTTTTGATGTTAAATCAAAAATGATTTAACAGAATGTATTTATTTCCCTAAAATGAGGAGGCCTAAAGATAACTAGATCCTATGTTCTGGTGTTTTTTAAAAAGTTTACTGTACTTATTAGTTTTTGCTGAATTTCCCACGGTTTCCTGCAGCTTATCAAAGATTCTAAATGATGGATATCTCTGCCACACAGATTCACACTAGGTATGGTCGGCAAAAGTCTTTGCACTATGGGGATCAAGCTCAAGAACACCTCCTTCTCTTGGCTTCAGATTTGCTACCCTGTTTTCCTCCAACACTCAGACATTTCTTTTCAGCAAATGCCTCTGTGAGATTCTTTTCTAACTCCCAACCTTCAAGTAAGGCATGTCTTGGCTCCTCAGCCTCTTCTCTTCCTAGTTCACATCTTGTTTTAAATACACGAGGTTTGATAAACTCCTGAAAGCATAACCTCTAGCCCTGATCCTTCCCTAGAATTCCAGATTTGAATATTCAACTGTCATTGAACATCTTCATTTACATATTTAACAAGCATCTCAAACTTCAAGTCTAAAGTGACCTCCAGGCTTCTAGATCCCCTGCCAATTTCCCT